AACCAACCAGATGTAATAAGTCATAAACAAGTGAAGTGCCTTAAAAATACTAGAAAGACTGAAATCTGTGTACGAAACAATGGGAAACTTGTAAAATTGGAGAATTATACTGGAAGAGGAAGAGGTGACAGCCACATGCTGAGCCCACTGAATTTACCACATGGGAACATGAACCACGCAAATACGCTGTCACACACAGGAGCGTGCAGCTGGGATCACAGATTCAGAGAGCTTATACTGCAGACAGAGCAGATGCTGGACTGTTGGGATGCTGTGGGAACAGAAGATAGATGGGCTTGCCTTTCCTTCTCCTGCCTCTATAAAATAACATATCAGGAATTTAAAAAGAAGCCTTGTTTCAAGAGCCCTTCTCCTTAGTCTCCTGAGGAAGGTTTTTGCTGGCATTCCTGGAAGAGTAGTGAAGCATGAGATCAGGGAAGGGCCAGAGGCATTGCCCAAAGGTGGTGTCAGGGCTGGAGGGAAGATACACTATTGGGAATAGAGCAGAGCCAAACACATAGTGGGGTAAAGCAGCAAGGGAGAGGGTTTCCCCTTACATTTTGGGGCTGCAGCAGTGTTTTATGCAATCTAAAGAGATGGAGACAAGGTGCAATGCAGGCAAAGGGAAAGTATATGCCATCTGCTTGGGAAGTTGAGAAGTATTTCTGTGTTCTCTGGGGAAAAGAGGTGTCAAGAGACAAACTCCTGAGGCTTTTTATTAGAACACTGCATTGTTTCACTGTTCCTGATTACCAGAACTAGTTGATACGGAGCATGTTCCTCAAAGAGGTACTAATGATTTTTAGCAGAAAATCAATGACAGTACCACGCTGTAGTCATCATTTTGAAAAACCTAAATCCAAGCTTGTAATTGAAACTACCTTTCCAACAAAAATAAGCATTTCCTTGGCTTTGCCCTGCTCTTGTTGAATACAAGCTCTGCTGTATGTTTACACTCTTAAGTGGCCCCTTAGAGCCTTGTTTGTAGTTTGTGGGAAGATAAGGCACCTCAGGAAAGTCCTAAATTTCTACTGACTTCAGTGATGTTGCAGAAGGGTCACAAACACTGAAATTGTCCCTCATCTTTGTGGTGAAGATAAGCTGAGCTGCCCTTCATCACCCATGTTGGCTGGCTGGGAAATGCATTAAACTGTCCTAGCAGTGGCTGAGGTTGAGTTCCTAGGGGCTGAACTTCATTAAGAGAGATAGGTGGCACGTTTCTCAGTGTACTGGTTAATCTGGACGCAATAAAAACCTGGTACAGACAAGGCATTTGCAATTTAAGTCATCCATTGGGGTTAGCCTGGGCTTCGGACATGTCAACTGGAAGTTGCCTGGTTTTGGGTGATACTCAGATAGTTGTACCCACCTAACCTCTAGTGCTTACAGCTTCTTGGAACAAGACAGAACTTGCTTGGGGATAAAAACTTACTTTCCACCATGGAAGCCCCTGTATTATTTTCTGCTCTGTGGAACACAGGGATTTCCAAGTTTCCCCTGTAGCTCCAAGGAGCATTGAAAGCCTTGAGTAAGGATTCCAAGGAGAGAGAAGACTGTACTTGGAAGGCATTTTGGCTACAGGTGGTTCTTCTATGTCAAATGCAGGCATTTAAACATTTGTAGCATCATTGTGGGTGTTAATGATAAACAAATATATTACATAAGTGTAACTGCTCCTGGAGAGGAGATAACAGCCAGTGATTAATGGCTGCTGAGATATGTGGGGAAAGCTTGAGGAGCTGGAGTACTTGGCCATGTCCTGGAAACTCATGGGAGAATGTCCTTGGCCTGTAGCAGCCATGCAGTAGGAACGAGCCAGGTACACTGAAGCAGTCGCACCCCTGCTGATTGCTCAGGTATTGCAAGGGTGAGAGGCCTCCAGGTGTTTGCTCTTCTTTCCCCGTTTTCCCTCTCGATACCCTTGGTGACAGGTCTTTGCACTCTCTACTGCAGGCAGTGGCTTCCACGTGACAAAGTCTATCCCCTTGGTGTTGATGACACAGTGGACAAGTTAAAGATGATGGAAGGACGAAAAACCAGCATCCGCAAGTCTGTGCAGGTGGCATATGACCGAGCCATGATCCACATGAGCCGAGTGCACGGAGACCATCCCTTCATTACATCCAGTTACCTGTAAAGGATTGGGGTGACTGGACCTCGTTTTCCCCCCAGACCTCGTGCTCACTGCATTGGCAGAGTGGACCATCTCATGCACTGACTGGCAGGGGAACACCGTTCCCAGCAGCTTTCAGCAGTCCTCAAAGTACCCTGAAATGTGCCAAAAAAACCTTGTCCAGCTTCTTTCTGAATGTGTCTGCTGAAGAGCTGGCAAGAGATGGAAATGTGTAGTCTGCAGGGCTGGGAGTAAGGTAGTTAGCAAAAGCTGACCGGTGATAGGAGCCAAGGTGAGTTGATGCAGTGAGTAGAGTGCAGCACTTGGATGTTTGGACCTCATGCACCCTCCCTTGCCCCTGCCTCCCCTGTGCTGCCGGGGTTTGTAAGTTGTCAGCTAGCCTGGAGTAGTTCCTGGGAACCTGCCACCACTGTAACAGAACCAGGATCCTTTACGGAAATCCCAACTTGACTTTCTTGTGCCAAATTTACCCAAACCATCATTGGCCTTTTCATTTTTCTTTAAATGATATTGTCCTATCATATAAAAAACTCCACAAAATCATAGCTGGGAGTTCACATTATGATTTTCCTGCCTGTGTACATAGTGTTTTCATGTTTAGATTTCTCTCATTGCCTTTAGAAAAGCATGAGATATATCGACGACCTTCCCCTCCTTGCTGCACACAGTTACATGCACAGATGCACAGAGCTTTAAAGATGAAAAGCAGATTACCTGATCTGTGTGTATAGGTATGTCCTAGAAATTTATTTTGTATCTGTGAATCTGCTGTTACATTTCATATCATGACTGTGCAGTACGAAATCTAAGCAAGGATAACTTCCTTTTTTTAAGAAGTAAAAGTAATTTTGAATGTGTCTAAGTAGAGTTGAAGCAGCTCTGCAGGTACTGAGGTTGATCAGGGTTGGAGGGAGATACATCTTTTGTGTTGGTTTATGCACATTTGGTGTAAGGCTCCTCTTCCTTTCTTCTGTCTTTTCTGTCTCTTTAATGTTTTCTTCTGATGCAGTTCGGGTTGAAACCAAGTGCTAACGAAAGCACACAACCATTTTGCCATTTCCCCTTCTCCCACGCGGACAAATCCTTTCCTTGGTGTGTGGGTCTCCAGCGTTGTCATTCATCCAAAGCCAAGTAAACCCAGCTCTGCAGACAATCCCTGTTGTTTTGTGTTTGCATTGCAAAACACAGGGACAAACTGATGTCTGGAAACTTGATGGCAAAATCTTTTCTATTAGCCAAGGACTTTATGATTTCTCTGATCTGTTCTGTTGCTTATCTCTTTTTGCTTTCCCATTTTCAAGAACCAAAGGTGCAAAGTAAGATTGTAGATTGAATATCACTTTGCTTTTTAACTCAATATTTTTAAATTATTTTTAACCTTTTCATACTGAAGAGAATGATAATGAATAGTGGGGAGTAATCACTGCCATTTCTATTTGGTCTACTTTTTTAAAATGCCACTTCTTATACACTGGAGCATGGAACCACATTTGAAGGAATTTTAAGATTCCTGCAACATATAGAGGTAGGACATAGGTTTGTAAAAATACTAATAGTGATAATAACACCTGTGGAGTGTGGCTAGGGAAGGATGTTGTGTATATAGTTGTAAAATGTTCTAAATTATTCAGACCTATTGTCACTATTCTTGAAGTCCTCAGTTGTGTTGCTGGGTCTTTTATATGCACACAGTGTAATTTATTTAAAGGAACATACACTTTTCTAGGTGGTAGCTCAGCTGTGGACTTGTGACCTATGTATATGCTTTAAGGTCTTGGGAGGTGGTTTTTTTCGTGTTTGTTTGTTTTGGTTTGGTTTTTGTTTTGTTTTGTTCTTTAAATTACATTTTAGAATTTGAATTGGCTAATGTCCTGCTGTTGCTACGGAACCTAAATGTTACTGTCAGTCTGCTGTAAAGCACAGATTGCTCTATTTATTGTAGAAAGTGAGTTTATTTGATTTCTAGAATTGTTTATATCAGATGGTATAAGAGGGGTAATAAGAAAATCTATGCTTGTAAAGAAAAGAAAAACCTAATTTTACCTTCTATAATCTGACTGTCTGAGACTATATTTTCTCTCTGAGAAATAAATGTTCTAATGTATGAAAAAAACCAAAACACTACCCTCAAGAAGTGTTCTTCCTTGCTAGTGTTGTCCTGAAATCTAGAACTTACTGTGATGGCTTTTAATCATCTCAGTTGTCCCAGATGCAGGCGGAAAGCCTGTAAAGAGCAATGGGGAAGTGAAACACGAAGGGGTTTCTTGTCCTTGACCATCTCCTGGGGATGAGGTTGTTCCCTGTGCAATGGGTGACAGGGCTGGATGCTGCAGGGTGCGATCCCACCTTGAGCCCTGCACAGCAGCGTGTTGATGGGGAAGCTGGCTGAGAGCCCCGAAGAGATGGGAATTGGCAATCTGGGGCTTGAATCACATCTCCTGGTGGTGCTGGACCAGGGACGGTGGGACTTACCAGCAGATGGGATGTGGAGGCAGCAGGACAGACCCTGCAGCTGGGTTGATCCCTGTCACGTGCCTGGGGAGAGTTTCTCATCTCAGCATGGCTCTTGCATTGTCTCTCTTCCCTGAGATGCACTTTTCCTTCCCTGCACAGGTTCATGTTCCTGCAGGCAGTGGTGCACTGCAAACACTTGCCTGACCCACACAGCTCAGTTGATGGTTGGAATTGTGTTGATGTTTTTGCTGTTGGGTTTGGTGTTGGTGGGGTGGTTTTGTTTGTTTGTTTTTTTCTTTTGTTTTTTAATTCATGTTCAACTAAGGACGACCAGGTCTGTTTCTCAGAGAAAACAACAAAAGGCACACACAGACAAATGCCTGAGAGAAACAACTCCAGGTTAGGAAAGTGATTTCTTGAGATACTGTTTGGAGTTTTATTGGCAACAAGGTTGTGCCTGTCACATGCTGGGCCCGGGCCTCACTGCCCCCTGCTTTCTCCACTGGGAACAGAAATGGAAAGTTGAGGGACCAAGAGCCTCCGCACCAAGACAGCCCTTATGGCGCAGCAGGAGTGCTGGGAGAAAGCCAAGGTGGCCCAGACTGGGCCTCCTGCCCAATGCCCTCCTACCCCTCACGCCCTCCTGACTCCAGCCTCTCACACCTGGCAGATGATTTCTGCCCATGGGAAGAAAATGGTGCATTAAAACATTCCCAGCCTGCCTGATTTAAAAGCAGATGCAGAGAGGCCAGCCAGATCCTTTTGCCATTCCTGGGAGGCTGTGTCCACAGGGCTGGACAGTGCTGGGGACAGCCAGTGCTGGATCCAGGATTATTCCTCCCTGTAGAGTCCTGCCAGCCAGTACTGGCAGGTCTCCACCCTGCAGTGCTCAGAGAGGCACTTGCCAGCAGCTGATGAGCTTGGATACCCCGTTTCTTGGACACAGCTCTGCCCTGCTTCCTGCTGGGCGCTCCCATCTCCTCTAACCACCCAAATTCTGTCTGTAGGGGATGCCTTGAGATCTGTATTTCTATGGCACCTCTTCCTGGCAGACCCAACACTGCAAACACATACTGGGACAGACATTACCTGCAGGTCTGAAACACCCCCCCACATCCAGAGTGGTCCAAAGCCCTGTGACACCACAGACAGGCATCCTTCTCGGGCATGGAGAGGATGGGGAGAACAAGGGGTGCACATTATAAATATAAAATCTGCTACAAAGAGAAGACATATATTGTACATCTTTGACCCATATACACAAGAACACAATATACACAGAACACCCCGTAGGAGTGGGGGCTTTGTAAGGAGCTTTTGGGAGATATTGGTCCCCTACCAGCCCCGCCCTGCACCTCCCCCACACACTGGAGGGGGCTGTACTCACAGAACATCAGTCACCAAAAGTTCCATCAAGCTGGCACGCATAATTCGAACTGTATGTGGATGGAGTGCTCATCGCCCCTGTCATGCCTGCCCTGCTGCCCTGGGGGAGAGGTAGGTGAAGAGGATGGAGAGAAGGAGAGAGGGCCCACAAAGTGCTTGGGGTCTCTGGACCCTTGGAGCGAAGGTAGGCCCTGAGAGAAACTTCTTGCCCTGCCACCCTCGTGGGGAAGGATTTTCCAGCCAGGCAGGTCTCTGATAAGGCATTTTCGTCTGGGAGATGGTGCAAACAGAAGAGAGAAAGGAGCAGATGGGGTAGCGCATGTGGTGCAGGTTAACATGAGGCAGACAAGCCCAGGACAGGGAGTGGAGAGGACAGAAAGGCTTCATCTTCAGCTCTGGTTTATCTGTAAACCTTCCCTCCATGGTCTCCCCCAGCCCCTTAAGGCCTCCCTTCCTGGCTTGAGCCTCCAGCACGGTGTAAAATACTGACAGTCATCAAAATGGCACATCCAGGTGCATGGAGTGGCAGACAGGCACACGTTAAGAGTTGATGTGAGCTCTGTACAGCAAGGATCAAATCCCAGCTGGAGTGTCTAAGGACTTGGGATGACAAAAATGCCACAGTGATCAGATCGGGCCAGGACGACGGAGCGGGCATGGGAGAAAGGAGTGAGTCAAGTCTGGGCACCTATCGGCGGTAATGATTGGGGGCATCTGCAAACATGTACTTGAGTCTGTAGGCTTCAGCGAGCAGGAGTCCAATTTCTTCGTTACCCCAGTGTATTGTGGGCAGGTTTTGTAACAACATCAGAAGGCCCTGAAAGAAGGGAAGATGCTTAGTTTGGAGAGGTTGAAGGCAGAGTGCAGATCTAGAGCAGGCTTGGGGGCGAAACGACCAGAAGCAGCAGCTCTGGTCACCACACTCATAGGTCTGAAAGGCTCAGAGACAGCATTAAGATGTGCTTGTGTCTATATCTGAATCAGTGAAGCACCTCAGATGCCTCCAAGCCCCTTCAGATAAAGGGTGCTATTATAGGCTTACAGCTGGACACAGGAAGGCAATCACTTACTGTGATCAGAGCTCAGGTGCAGGGAAGAGCTGGTATGTGATGTTTGAACTGTCCAACAGCTCAGTTCTCTGTCCTTACCACTGAGGCTCAAAAGTTACTTTTAAGGAAAGCTCCTGAGACCAGATGATCTTGGAGCCAGCTCTGAGATGACAGCTGACTGTCCACATTGGACTCCCAATTAGAGCAATTCCCTCCCCTATACCCCCATGGAATTATTCTCAACCTCAGTGTCTTACCTGGAAGTCTTCCTCATCTAGGATCTCCTTCCGCCACTTGATCAAGAAGGCAGCGCAGACATACAGGTGGAAATGTGAGAATCCTTCTGGCTCCGACTGTGGAGAGCAAAATTCTGGGTCAGCTCCTCCAGCTCATCTGGAGAACAACTTCCCTGGATAATGTCCTACTGGGTCACCCATCACCCAACTCACTATAAATGTCCTGGGGTCACACTGCTTTGTTTCCCTCATCTCCCCAGCTGGTGCCAGAAGACCTCTGTCCTCTCATGTACAGGGAATCGGCCCCACGGTGATATGCCCAGCAGGAAAGTCAGTGGAAACCTGTGTACCTGGTAGGTGTCCCAGAGGCGGATGGTACAGCGAAGAGGCAGCTCCCTCATAAGCAGGTTGTTCATCCAGCGAAAGGCAAACTGCAGGTATTCGACCTCGTACTTCCTAAAGTGATTATGTACCTGCTCTGAAACAGCACATTTCACTTACACACCTGGGGACCACAGTGCCCCAGCTCCTGCACATTGCTCCAAACACACTGGTTTTCACTCACTTCCAGGCTGAGACCTTTTTCTCCCAAACTCCTCCACTCCTCACCCTGTGCTACCCAGCCAGCGAATCCTGTCACCAGGAAGTTTCTGGTTGACCCCACCCTACTATGCTTCCATACGCGTTGTAGGCGTCTACCCCTGCCCTACTTACAAAGAGAGTACTACTTAAAAAGAAGGCCTCCTGCTGTTATGACAAAGGAGCCAACATGATCAGGTTCCCCTGTCACCTACCATCGATCCGGCTGACTAGCTCCTCTAGAGCTTTGACTTTCTTCTGGATCCCCGGTTGTGCAAAGGTGTAGTTGTCCTGTGAGGAGAGGCCACAAGTCAGAAGCAGCAGCTTTAACAACAGCTAGAAATGATCAGAACCAGACCACCACCAGTTTGACAGGGAGATGAGACTGTCATGAGCCAAGGAGACATGACTCTTGAGCACCAGGATCACCTGCCTGCTGTGAAGTCCCACTGAAGGACAGTGCCATCAGCATCCATCTCCCCAGGATTTTACTAATGGATTTAGCTCAGTGAAGTAGCAAAATCTCCCTAATGCCAGAACATGCAGAACACTCGTCCAGAGAGGGAGAGAAGACAACCACACTGCTACCCCAGCAAGGGAAGAGAAATCTCCATGGCCCCAGAGGCTCACCTGTATCCCATCCAGCAGCTTGCTCATGCACCAAAAGCTATCAGCTTCAATGCTCCGTAGAACATCCTGCGACAGGTTTGTCACATCAAAGTTTTCCACATCCTCCTCTGCAAAACAGAGAGCGAAGAGCATCAGGAAGAAGGGGAACACCAGGCAGCGCATGGGACAAACAGAGGGGCTTTATCAAGCCAAAGCATTGCAAGAGGACTACAACACTGTGCATGTGAGAGGTGTGCTTGGCACTGATCGCAGTACCCATGCACTGACCTACTTCTCCAACTCAGGTGAAAGGCTGAAGAATCCCAAAAGACTTGTCAGCCATGACCTGAACCCAGCCCAGCTCCCCAGGGAACTGTGGGAGGGGTCCCACAGCACTGCCGTTTTTGTCATCCCTTCTGGAGTGAGGGTTGTGCATGGACAAAGCTCTGGCATATCGGAACCCCTCGAGCCAGAGTGCATCTGCCCTGAGTGACAGCAGGTCTCTGCCAGCTGGTAGCACCACAGGGAGAATTGAGAGAGTTGAAACCTTCACCGCAGCCAGAAACTAGGGAAGGAAACACTGTCCTTGGCTTGAGGCAGCACAAGGGAGCTCAGTTCCCATTCTCAGTTGGATTCATCAACATTAGCTCAGGATTAAGCACAACAGAGGCACCTAAAAAGTGGCTGCCAACTTTGAGGACTCATGAGGAAGAACTGCCAAAGCTTCAAAAACCTCTACAGGAGAGCAGGACTATTGGGCACAGGTGCGAGAACCCAAAAGCATGCAAACTTCTCCCTGGACAGCAAAAAGACCCCGAGTTAAATCCAGCACAGAGTCTGACAACTGGGCCACATGGCAGAGAGACAGTTCAACTTTGTGGAGTTTCTCCTCCTTAAGCCCGGCTGACACAGAGTTCTCACAGAGAAAGTTAAGGGTTCTCACAGAGTGCAAAAGACTGCCCTTGCTTTTAAGTGGGCTTATGAACCCTCAGGAAGGGTAAGGGAGAGATGCCTCGAGAATGGAATGACAGCAATGCTGGCTGAATTTGGAGCAGAGATCACCTGCTCCAAGCCTGGTGGAAACAGGCATGGGAAGGCAGTGGAACACAGGTGGGAAGACAGTCAGGAGACACAGGTCTGCCCCTCTTGGCTTGGCTTACCCAGCAGCTCCCTCCCTTTTCTCCTTGGGAAGAAAGCACCCATCATGTTTCTGTCATGCTGGTAAATCAGATCAACAAATGCCAGGGCTAAACTGGCTCATTTCCAAACTCAGAGGCTCAAAAATACCAGCAAGCACCTTTGATGTTCCTTGGAAAAGAGCGAGAGAGGGAGAAGATGGGGCTCCGGGCTGGAGCCGGGCCACCCTCTTGACTCAGACACACTGCAGGGCAGCTGTCACAGACTGGCACAGCTGTGAAAACCAATACTAAAAGATCCTGCCCGAAGGAGGAAGGGAAGTGCAGAGCCAGTGACTCCAACACCTCTGCTTCTCCTCCAGGGCAGAGCTCAGCTCTGAAGCAAAGCCCAGCTCCAGAGCAAACCGCCACCAGGAGCTTTAGGGACAAACAAGAGCTTAACCCTACATTAATCTCGCAGTTTTGTACTGCAGAAAGAGCAGTGAAGCTGTTTTCCAGCTGCACATCATCATCATCTGACACTCACTCTTCTGCTGACTTCTATAGCCACTCTCAAATGATTCAGGTAATAAGAAAGGCAGGCAAAAAAATCTGTTTAATATCCATCTCCTTCCCTAGCTAACTTTCTCCCACAGAGAAAGGTGGGTGGGCAGGCAAAGGAGCAGGACAGGGTACATGTGTATGGCCAGGACTAGCGGGAGAGGAAAGCTCAGCCATGTGGGAATGACCCCTGTACAGAAGACTTCCCCTTGCAGCTCAGGCATGAGGACCATGATGGAGAAAGGGATGTGCCCAGGCGATGGTGAACACCTTCCTGCTTGCATGAGTATGGGGTCAAGAGGAGCAACTCTGCCAACACCCCAGTATCAAAGCAAAACAGTTGGCACGAGCCAACACACATTGCAAGAAGCTTTGAACAAAACCCCAGGTCTCTGGAGTGTGGCTCAGCACAAACATCTGCTTAGCAGCATCACTAAAGAGGCCTCATGGAAGATATAATATATAATCAATATATGGTTCTGACAGGGACTGAGAGGAAGCCAGTGGCATGATGACAGCTGCTTGAAGCAGTGCCACAGGGAGCCCGAGGGAAACAAGGGTTCGGGGAAAGCAAAGTTTCTGTGAGTGATGTTTCAAAAGGGTTTAGGGAGGACACAGGAGAAGGGACGGACCAGAGAAGCCAGGGCTCTAGCCATCCACATCCCTCCTTTCTGTAGGAAAGCTTTAATGACTCCCCCTATTCTGGCAGCTGGGGCTCAGGGCAGGACTAGACAGCTGGAGGACAGTTAAACTCAGTCTTAGTTCACAGCTGTGCATAGCAGTGGGTAGGTCTCCACTGGTGCAGTGAGCCTTGGGTCCAGGACAAAACTGGTTAGAAAATGCTGATGTCAGAGCCTGGGTTGGGTGAGTCACAGTGTAACTACTGACACAAGGCTCCCCCTTCCCTTCACCCAAGTTTCTGCTCCTGCTTACAGGGAAACAGTGTCTTAATTTAACTGCGATTAGGATTTAGCAACAAAGCCAGTTAGAAGCGAATGACATCAATACTTTCCACGGCACTGCTTCCGTCTACAGACCTGGTATGACACCAAACAGGTCCCAAAGCTGGGACAACCTTATGCAAGGCCTTGAATCAGGAATGGAATCAGGAATGAATCGAGATGGGCAGAGAACACCGGGACAGGGTGCAAGGGCCAGCACTGACACTACCTGGGGACGCTGAACTCATTTCTGAGCTGTCACTGCTGTTTTAAATGCAAGCCCTAAGAGCTGGGAGTGACTCAGTGCAGCAGGAAGTGCTGCAGGACCTGAGCTGGGAGGCAGTTTTAACAAGACTGAGAGCTCTGTATTCCTATACTTGCTGGGCCCTCTCTGATCACCCGGAAGCAGAGGCACATGGTTTCCTCCAGGAGGTGCCAAGTTGTCATTCCTGCCCCAATTCCACGGATGCCAGACTGCCTCTCTATATCCCATCGCTGAAGCTCTGCCTTCCCAGCAGCACTAGCAGCCTGTGCCCATCCAGGGGGCAGCAACAATAGGCTCAGTAGCTCCTACAGCCTCAACACCTCCCTCAAGCTCTTCCTCACCACCATCTTCCTGGCAGCACCAGCTAACAATAAGCAGTGGTCAGCAATCTGCAGCAGAAGGCATCGATCAGCCAGTAGGAGGAATCAGTCCAGTTACAGATTGGTCAGTGGCAGGGGCCCAAAATGCCCACGCTTGCTGCTAAGTAGCTGAGGCAGTTGTGTTCATGCAGGAGGCAGATAGAGCATCGCAGGAGAAGATGAGCCAGCTTGCCAAGCTGAGGGAAAGGGGAAAAGGGAAAATACAGCAGTTAAATCTATCCCACCTGCCAAGGGCTCACAGCAGTCTGCCCAGCACCTGGAAGGAATATGAGTTCTGGATGCAGACTGGGTGGGTTAAAGTACAGGAAAAGCAACTTGTCCCAACTGGCACTGCAGAAGGGGCCAAGGGAGTTCAGACACAAGGACTGGAAAACTCTGGGGAAGAGCTGCTTCTCCCTGCCTCAGGGTAGTTAGTATCTTCTGAAGCTGGTCAAAGGGGCACATACACTGGATTCAAGGCACTGCTCAGAAAGAGGGAAGCAGTATCAATGGGACCCCTTCAGTCAGGCTAGAGAGATGTAAGTTAACAGCAGAGTCATCCAGTTTCCAAAGCATCCAGGGCAGCTAGGATAAATAGCTTCCTGTGAATGTTTTTCACTCATTGGTCTGTTTATCTCCTTCGGGACCTGGAGAGGCATGCACTCTTCCTCCCCACACCTTCTGTGGTGATGACAGAAAGGCATCAAGTCAAAGACACAGCAGTATGGCCAGCCAAACTGCTCTAACTGCTACCCCAAGCAAGCTGTGTTTAATCCCTCTACACACAAGAGCCTGGGAATTTGTTGGGTAACTGCTCGTGCAGTTGGCCAACTGTTGGTTCGTTGTTCGTGTCAACTTCAAAGACAGGAAGGTGCCAAATTGTTTCCTGATAGTGATCAATAAGCTACAAACCATTCTCTACCCAACAACCCAGCTTTTCCCAATGGACATGTTCCAGCCCCTAGAAACTTAGAAAAAAACCTCTGCACGTCCCACTGATGGGTGTTTTAGGCCCTGGTCTAGTAACATATATAATGGAAACATTATCAACCAGACACATTAATCAGCTGATTAGCACCAAGGAGAGATTTTAATTGATGTGTAGAAAAGTTGATTTGTTGTCTGCAAATGCGATGCCTGCCCAAAGCATGGGATGATAGGTCAGAAGTCTACAGTGACCTTGGCAATGGGGACTAGCCTGTCAGCAGAGCTGAAATCACTTCATGAGAAGCTACACAGCCAGACTAGGGAGCAGGTAGCCACCAAGACAGCTTGTGACCTAAAAGCTGGTTTTTAAATCGCAGGCTCTGGGGACATAAGGGGGATGCATGATGTTGCTTGGCCAAATTCTATTCAACGGGTCTCACACAGAGGATTTTCTCCAACACAAGTTTCAGAAATAGCTGGAAAAAGGAAGGTCACATCCACAGAGGAAGCTTCAATCGGGGTGAAAACAGCCTTGGAAGATGGTGAGAAGCATGACCCCAGCAAAGAGATGGACAGGCCAATGCAGCATGAACTCTGATGCAACATGCAGAGAGAGTTAAGCCATGACAATCAACATGGAACAGGAATGCAAGAAGCCACACCAGGTACCCACAGGCAGCTCTGATGCTTCAGACCAGTTCCCTTCTTACATAGGTAACTCGCTGTGCACAGCTCTACTGCTAACCCAATAAATCAATCCTGAGCCTCCGTGAGGACTATGTGCCATCGATGCTGCTCAAGCAATAAGGCACAGGAGAGGCCACTCAGAGAGAACCCGTTCAGACCTGAAATGCTCTTGGCCTCCCACAAAAGGGAATTCACTCCAGCTGGTAGCATTTTGTGCCTTCTCCTTCAGGCTGCGAGGAGCAACAGCATTTCCTAGGGATCGGTCCTGAGCACACTGACTATCACAGTGGAAAGTAAGGTGGCTTACCTCTTCACAATACCCTCAGAAGAAGCAGATCAGTACTAGTTTACAAAGCCTTAGCTTGACAGGGGAAGGCTTTCACCAACTTCAACATGTTTTGGATCAAACCTTAAAAATATTTGTTCAATGGGATTTCTGTCCCATTGTATAGGACAGTCATACAATGGGACAGAATGTATGATTGTATAAATGTATGACTGTATTAGTCATACAGTCCTATATATTCCTGTTTCCTTCTATTTACAGTGAAAACTAAGAGCCTTTGAACATAGGGATTACGACATCCCAGCACGAACATCAACTCCAAAACACAGCTAGAGACGGAGAAAGAACAAAAACACTATGGGTGGAAAGGACTTGATCTCCATCTAAAAGCCACAGCCTGACAAGAAATCCAAAAGCAGCAGGAAGAAGTCAGTTCGCTTTCTGAAACTCTCAGCTTGAAAAACACACCTGTACTAGCAGCAAGGGACAGGAATCCTTACTTAAATAGCTTATTTTACATTCTCAGCAGGGTCTCTTTATACTTCACTCGTTCCTCCTAGAGCAAGAACTGTCTCCAAGTCCAAGCTTTGAGAGCAAGACCCTCCTGCAACTCTGTATACCAGGGCTTTGCCTAAACTCCCTCAGTGCCTAAAAGACCCCATTCTTCTCCAAACTGTACTGTTGTTAAGCACATTCAAATGCAAACCCACTTTTAGCACTTTAACTTCTGTGGGGCTCAGCAAGATTATCAAACTGAAGCCAGTTGAACCAGGAAGTAGAGATACAGTAAGAGGTCAAGATGCATCTCCAACCTGGCACAGGCGCTCTGAAGGAAGAACACATCACCCCCTCCTCCTGCAAGACAAGTTTTCCTCATGCCAGCATTTCACACCATTTCAAACACCATCGTCAAGAGTGCTTCAAGCAGCAAATGTAACTTACCAACATGCTCAGAGAGGAACACAACAAAGAACGGAGTGACCAGGTCATTGATTCCCTGTACATAGCCGCTGGCTGGGTGTCGAATGGCCCAGATAAACAGGATTCTTTCAAAAATCTAGGGAAGAACGAGGGAAAGCATGTACCTGCATTAGCCATGCACAAAGCAAAGGCAGAAAAGCATAACTGCTAAGCTCAGGTAGTGGAGACCATGCACTGACAGGCTTTTCTATAGCAATACAGGTAACGTAAAAAGCATAAAAGTCCTAGGAGAGACTCCTGTATGATCCACAGATCCCCCACATATTCCAGCCCGCTCTCAGAGAACAGGACAGTCCAGTCGAGACTCCTCATCAAAGCCGCTGCCTGAGGAAAAGCAGACTCAACTTTTCAAGAACCAGATAGCTTAATATCCACAAGACAGGGCTGCCTCTTATCAGAGCAGCATGCTTTGCTGAACATCAGGTGGAAAGCTAAAGTATTAGCACAGTACTCCCAGCAAAACATCGCAGATTGGGATAGTTCCCAAAGAGTAGTCTCCCCCACAACAACCAACATGCTATTCCCAAATTGCCCCATCCTCACGGACACCATGCTCTGACACACCGCATACGCACACTGGGCTTGTTTCCAAAGAGGACAGGTGCCCACGCCTCTTGGCCATCCCTCAAACCTGTCCCCGGCCGGGTTGCTCACATACCACTTTGCACAAAAAACACTTCGAAGTAAAACAGAACTATCTCCTCTTCAGGTTCAAATGCCTCCAATTTGTCTCAAAACAAAAGCTTCAGGTCTTTTACCAACTCTTGGCTACATCTTGCCACAGAAGAGATGATGTCATAACCCTCGAGCTCCAAGTCTTTCAGAAATATGGGACAAGACCAGACAGTTTCAGCAGGTACTTGCATCAGGAGCTATGACCCAGGGAAGTTTCCCCACAAAGCTAACTCACTAGTAGAAATGCTTGTCTAACTCCACACACACGCCCCACGGCAAATGTGGAGCAGGAACTTCACTTCCCCTTACCTCCTGGACGAGTGGCTGCTGGAAGAGGGGAATGAGTGGGTTGGTCCTTGGAATGTCAATGTGGATCTGGAAAAGAGGGTGGGTTACACACACCAACTGTGCTTTCTGGGGCCACAGTAACTCATCACAGGTTAAAGCGCCTCAGCGTCCCACCAAGCGAGAGCTGCACTTGCTGAGAAGCACAGTGAGGGCTATAGATGACAGCTGTACTGAGAAAATCATCTACAGTTTTATCTCCAGTCTCCTACGCTCAGGTACAGGCAGGTGGCCAGAGCTGGGAAAGAGTTGGGGTCTGAAATTTATTATTAGATCATTTTAGGGAAAGCTTAAACTAACAAGGACAGAAACATGGTGCTTTTTTGCCAAGGAGAAGACTCCTATGAGCTATAGCTAGAGAAAGTTCTAGCATCACCCTAACCACATGGACAAGCAGTGGCAACAGAGAGGAAAGGGACATAACCAAGGCAGAAAGACGGGCAGCTGGCAGAGGATTCATACCTGTCGGTAGGTGTCTTGATGGTGCTCCTCATTCCGGGAATCGTAATACTGCTGAATGAAGCCAAAGTACTCCTCCCGCTTGCGCTGCAAAGTCAGCTTTCGACGCTCCGAGTTTGCAGGAAGATAGCCCTGCACCAGGAAAACCCATATCAGGGCAGACTCTCTTCCTGACCACAAACCATCCCTTGAAATCCTGCCAGTCAGCTGTGCACCCAGAAATATCAGGCACACAAACTCAGGAGCTGGGGAAAGAGCTTTCATGGCATTTGGCTTTCTGAGTCCGATGTCTTCATGGATCTTGGAGGAACCCAACTTCATTGGATTCACTTTCCCTTGTGAGAGTGAACCGCATATTTCCCCACACCAGTCTGGGCTTTGAGCTCAAAGAAGATGTAGCAATAACACTCCCCAATCAAAAAAACCCTAGAGCTCGCCTGCAGACCGGGCACAGATAAAACACAAGCAAAGTTGGTTATGGGACACGTGAAGGTCTAGGAGCAGGTCTCTGGCTCAGCACAGTCCCCCCAGACTCCTGTGTCAGAGCTCCAAGTACTTACTGAGAGGAGACGCCATGTCACAGGCCGGACTTCTCTAGGTACACCAGGCCAGCTGCATTTTCTCAGCTCATCTGCAAACGGACAGTGGTGGCAATGGATTAGATCCTAGGCACGTCCAGGCACCACTGTACCTAGAAGGAGAGGAAAGCCCAGTCTGCTCCTGCAGGCTCTGGAGACACTGAGCCACCAGGAAGGCTCCCACACTACCAATGACTGGGCATGTGGTTCTGCTGCAAGGGGAGTAGAGATGATTTCAGCTTAGCTCGGGCACAGAACTGGTAGCTGCAGGGGCCCCAGTGGGCCAGAACCTCAGTTCTTGTGCAGAGTCCAACAGCCCCCAGTGATCCCAACCATCATATACAAGATGGAGAATGATAAGGAACACAGAGGAAGTGGCTGGAGCACATTATCATCTGCCAACAGAGTGATTTGTGCAACCATCCCACTTGGTGCAACTGCAGGTAGTCTGCAGTAGCAGACCCAATTACAACTTGATAGAGGCAGCAGGCCCTCTCTGCCTTCCCCTTCCCACCCAGAGGCACCCTCATTTTGCCACACTTACCCAGGTCTGTGTTGTGACTGGAAAGGAGCTGTCGAAACTTCTCCAGCCGAGTTTTCTCCCTCACAGTCATGGGGGGAGCACCAGAAGCATTTTGGTCAGAGATTCGGGCAACAAGTGGAATGACAGGTCGAAGGGGAAGGGACTGCTGCTTCTGAAGGGGGGTCCGCACACAGGCCTCCTCTGCAAGGACCAGATGCTGCACTGAGGTGATTGGAAGGAGATTGCACCTCTCCAACCCTTCCTCACTCTTCTAGCCACTCTCAGAGACCTGCCACTGCAGATTTCGCCCCTCTCTTCCCCAGCACCAGTAAACACCATCATTAGCCCAATGGATCGGCTGGTTCACAGGCATCTGCTGCAGCTCTTCCATCGCTTCCCCCCATTTCTCCTTCCCTTTCTTCCTCCTGCATCCAGACACCCGGCTGCAAGCGGATCAGACTTCCCTCTGCACATGGGAAACCATGGGCAGGACACAGGCGACAAGGCAGAAGCAGCTGTGGGAATTCCAGAACTGACCATCAGATCTGCTCTGCTCTCCACTGATCTGAATAGCAACAAAGCTAATTGCTAGTGCAGAAAGAGGAGGCAATGGGCTGCCAGCGCCACCTTCTGGGTTACTTTCACTGCACAGGCAGACAAGGCAGAGTGAGCAGGGGCTGATGCTGCCCAATTCCCTGCCCAAGCTGTATCGACCTGGTGTCAACAGGACCTCATCCAGATCTTTACTAAGAGCAGAGCGCTCTAGGCCACAAAGGAAGCAGACAGTGAGCAAGCCCAAGCAAGAACTTAACAGATCTCCAAACTCCAGAACATGGGATACTCTTGGACAGACATGCCTGTAGCAGGATACTGAGCAGCAGGGGACACTGAAGCATTAAGACTAGGTCGCTAAAAATGCTTGGAGTACAGGATACTACAAGGAAGAAAAAGCCTCTGTTATGCTTACAGGCTGTGCCACAGCCTCTTGCCCATACCCTGTGAGTAGCAATAAGCACTTGAGTTCAGTGGTCAAGTAGGAGAGCACTAGAGCAGGAAGTTGCCCCTGAAGACAGCTCTTACCAGAAGTCCTGGAGAGCTGGGCCTCACTGCTGGACTTGATGACCTTGCAGTTGGTGGGCATGTCACCGAGAGTAGACTGGGCCCGCTCGGGTTTCACCTGCAGCTTGCTGTGGTTCTCTAAAACCTGGGCTGCTGTGGCCTTGGCCACTTTAGAGTTCAGAGTTTGCAAAGAGGAAGAGGAGGAAGAGAAGTCCTCATCTTCGTCATCGCCGATGTCCCAGGCGTCGCTGGTACTGCGGGCAAACTCATGAAAGCTGGAGGCCTTCTTGCTTTTCGTAGGCAATGCGCCGGCCTTGGAGCGGTCCTTGATGAAGCTGCGAGCCAGAGAGGAATAGTATCAGAGCCATGCCGTTACATGAGTCCATTTTGTCTCCTTTCCCCACATCCTGGCTCCAATCAGCCAATCCCTTTATCCAATTTCCCTGTTCCTCCTCCCAGACCTAAGGAATATATTAAGTCTGTCTGGGCTGCCCACTGGAGGCAGAGCCTGAGCTGCTCTGACAGCAGTCACGGAGGCCACAGTGGCAGCAGACAGTTGGAGAGAAGCCAGGCTTCCCAGCTCAAAAGGGCAAATACAATTCCTCCAGCTTTGCCTTCCCCCACCCTACAGAAAACAGGTACATTACCACCCCAAAAAAGTCTTGCAACCTGGAGAGAGGCATGTCAGAGGTTAGACAGCACAGGTCTGCTCCTGTGGACAGTCCCAATACAGCTGTGATCGTTCCCAGCAGCCAGATCAGCCTGGTTCTTTCCTCAGGCACAGGAGGAGCCTTTGCATTTACTTTTAAGCTACAAGAGTCAAAGTCCGCCACCCGAAGCAGGGAACTTTCACCACTACACAGCACGAGATGGGGATAAGGAGCCAGTTCAGATCAGTTCTGACTTTTCCTGCCAATGACGGTGCTGCGGTTCTCCAGTCTTGTAGCTGCTGGGCAGCTTTACCTCCCTTTCCCTTAATTCTTCCAGCTCCAAAGAGCAGCAGAAGAACCAGACACCACTGCTAAAAAAAAAGTCTGTCTCCTTTGATGGGGCTGTTACGGTATGGATTTCTGGCCATAAAGGGCACAGCAAATAAGCTTTCCGTGCAAGGTTTCATAGCACTCGAGACAGTACAGCACCCCACTGCTGTCCCTCTTTGCTGCAATATCACAATGCCAGGGATGCTAGAGACCTCCACCTGCTGCAGAACTGAGCCAAAAACCTGAAAAGCCTTGTGCTCTGCATCTTCAGGAGATAAACACTTACTTTTTGGTGAGCCGGGAATCCAGGGGAGGATGCTGTGCTCCATAGACAGGTTGAATGCTGCAGGAAGGGGAAAGAAAAAAAAACAACCCAAGACACTACAAAAAGAGGTCCCACAAATTATCTCAGCTTAGGCTGGGGTCACAATTCTTGTCTGCTCTCAGGAGCTGAATATAAGACCAAAAAACTTCTAACTTAAAAGCCTTAGATCCAAAGTGCCACATTCAGATGCAGATCTGTTCTTTGCAGCAGCAAAGAGAAGCCTTGTTTAAACTCTGAGGCCCTTTCCAGCCTGAACTGGGATTTTAGATCTGCTCTTTTCTGCGCCATCGATTCACTCCAAGTGACCACGTGTCTCAGTCTCCCTGCTGACGTTTGCTCTCTTTTCCATCAAGGGGACTTCCAGTTTTGGGAATTTACTTTTCCAAGGCCTGTGGGACAGGGAAGGACAGTGACACTGGGGATCCTCCACAATACACTTGAGGGTTTGAACCCCATGCTGGCTCTCAGGATCATAGCCTATGCTAGGGCATTGGAATGTCTGGTACAGTATGTGGTTTGACTCGGGTCCAAATCCCAGCTTAATCAACTACTTCCTATGTGGCCTGAAATGAGTCACCACAAATCAGTTCCTTGGCTCCCCATTCTGTGGAGTGGGACTAATGGAACAGGAGCCTGAGGGCTCCACACACTGCATGGGGAACATCACCTCAGAGAGGAGCTACTAGACAAGTGCTAATTGCTGGTTTTACAGACTCTGGATGTGAGACAGGGATTCTGAGTTATTACCTCCATTTGGGCAACTATTCACAGCCACCTCACCCTGGAAAACCATCTCTGAAAAACAAGTCCTCCCCATCCTCTGGTACGTAGCGTAGTCCCGTGACCCACGGCAAAGACAAAGGCCCATTCTGAGCTGGCACACAAGAAACAAGTTCCTCGTGGGTCAATAGAGCTGGTCTGGTTTCTAGGAGCTGCAGATGGTGCCTGGCAGTAAAACGAGCAGAGCCCCGCCGTGTAGGAGAGGGATGGCAGCCTGGTACAGCTGGAAAGCACGCTGGGAACCAGATGATGAGGAGGAAGCAGAAGCAACAGGTCCAGCTGGCACGGAAGAGATGCAGAGATCCAGGGCAGGGACTGGAAACAACCACAGCATAGAGAGATCCTGGCAGAGTAGCCCAGCAAGGAGTGGGCTCACCACTGGAAACAACCACAGCATAGAGAGATCCTGGCAGAGTAGACCAGCAAGGAGTGGGCTCACCACTGCAGCACCTGTCCCTCATGGCTGGAAGTGCTGAAAAGCCTCACTGTGTTTACCCACCAACAGGGTGGTAGGATAGAGTGTGATGACTAATGAGCATCTGGAAGTCAGCACAGCTATTAAGCAGAGGCACCTCCATGGATGGCCACAGCAAGCAGATAATCAGGAGTAAGAAAAACAACCCCTCCAGATCAGCATTGTTTCCCAATGACTTGTGGCAGCTCCTTGCAGAAAAGGAGCCAGCAGAGCCTTTCCCATAACCAGTACCAAACTCGCACTGTCTCGCGATAGCCAGGACACTGCTGCTCTTTGCTGCGCTGAGACCCACAGGCTGCCAATGGGCAACTGCTTTGATTTGCCTGCAAAGGCCTGAACTTCACGAGACCAATGAATGATGCACGTTAGAGAGAGAGGAGGGAATGTGACAGCCAGTGCTGGGTGAGGAAACTCTTTCCTGGGGTTCTGAAGCAATTGGCCAACGGCTGATATAATGGCAGAGGGTCCCACCTCCCAAACAGCTTTTTAAAGACTCAGAGCCCAGACACTCCCAAACAAAGAATCTCGTGCTGATCTAAGCTGACACTGTGCTCCCAGACTGACTGGACTCCCCCGTTCAGTCTCAGTTTAAGTTCTTTGGGACAGGCTCTTTGTTACCTGAATGTTCAGCATCTGGTACAATGGGTGACTAACGGTGTACGGTACAATGGCTGTGCTACCTGTGTTATACTGCTCATGAGATCATCACAGAGTGTGGGTTATTGACACTGCAACAGAAAGCATATCCATGAAACTTCAGGGCCCCTTTGGACACAGAACATATTTACTTCTAGCAGACTGTTTCTCCCCTTTTAGAACAGCATTTAAATAGCCCCAACCAGACACTGGCTGCCCATTTTCCCAAAGAGCAGGAAATAAACACCACATCACAGATGACAATACATTAGACCACCCTGCCAAAGCATCGTCAGGAAATTACTGGGGAGAGAATTTCCAAGGCAAAAACCATAGGATAGCATTGGAAAGACAAAACAATATTTACCAGTTCTGCCACCCTAAATTCAGAGGGACCAAAAGCACCAAATAAAAGCTAACACAGCTGAGTGACCAAATGCACAAAGTGTCATGGAAAAGGAAGCTAACACAGCGTCCAAATCTCTACAGAGCCTTCTTTTGTCAGATTGTCAGGGTAAAGAAAGGAGAGAGCCAAGAATCTGTATGAGAAGGTCTCTCAAAGCTCAGACAAAAAAGAAGAAAGGAAGCTTCCTGTCTAGCAATCGTGGACGCAGCACATCCCACCTCCACCTTTTGTGGTCACGTTGCCCAAGACCTATCGGTAACTGCCCCTGGAAATAACCGGCACACAGGGTATTTGGAGATGGTAACACGGCTCCTGCACAGCCGGATATTTGCCAAGTAGGCAGTTAGGAGCAGGAGAGAACACTGCCAAAAACTCTACGATGGAGTGTATTGTCTAGGTAGGACCGGCTGCCTCCCAGACCGGTTCACCTGGTTTGGGCTTTCCAAGTCAAAGCTCAAAAGTCACCAAAGCAGAAGAGAGATGGTGCCCAAGACCATCAGCTGAGCGCACATCCGAGACCTTCAAATAAGAGACAGCAGCAATCAGGAGACAAAATAACCCAGGGAAAGCACAGCATTTTCCTCCCCCATTAGGAGCAGAGGAGGAACGCTGAGTGCTCCTTGCTTTCCCTTCGCTTGCCACAGACACGGATTGTCCAGCCAACCTGAAGGAGTCAGCACAATGACAGAGAGATGAGTGAACGCACATTAGAAATATTCAAGTGGTCTAGCAGGATTTAAAGCCAACTAAGCATTTTAGATTGTGTGTGTACCCTAGGAGGGGAAGGGTAGGATTCACATAAGGAAAACGAGAGCAAATGTGAAGAGCCCTCAGATGTGAAAAGCACCTGCAAGAGCCTTCACAGAGAGGCAGACCCCCTCTCCCCATGGCAGCCTTGTTCCCAAGACATTATAGTGAGCATCTCCTTCATCACCACCAGCCTCTTCTTCCTAAATACCACTCAAATCAGACATTTCACTTGTTTCTCCCATCCCTGGGTGAGCGTACATGCCTTGACAGGAACCAGGACATCACAGCCAGAGGAACTGAGGGGAGGTGCAAACAGAGAGCCCCTCTAAGTTCTCCATCTTGAGTAGAGGTGGAGAAGAATTAACATCCTATGTAAGGGAGGATAATGGGGGGGTTACTGGCGTTGGCAGGGGCACCCCTCTAGGACAGAGGTGCTGCCACTCAAAGTGATACCTCTAAGGACTTCAGGAAAGGATGAGCTTTCTTTGGTAGCTGTGGAAAGGAAGATGGTCCAGTCCTGGCTCTGAGGCCACCCCAAAGGGGCCTTCAAGGCCCTGATCCCTCCATTCTGTTTCTCATGGGGCAGAGGAAGCACACAGGGGTCCCCATAGCCCCCACACAGCCTGCCTTGTCCTACAGATGAGTGAGCAGTTCTGATCCTACCCTTGTCTCTTAAACAGTAAGCCTTCCTCCGTCAAACTTTCTCTGTCCCATAGCCTGGGGTGCCCCTAGCATCCACCCCGTTAGAGGGGGGAACCCTAGGTCCCCAGCCAGCTCCTCTGCCCTGCAACCAGGATAGGTACGCCTGGTATCCCTCCAGCCTTGCAGGGAAGTACCGCAGGACCCTCAATCCCAGAGCCAGCGTGGGTGACAGCCCCTTCCCAAGGCAGAGGGACGGCTCCAGCTCCCTTTCCCGACATCCCCCAGTTGGGAGGGTGGGTGTTGCGGCCCGTGCACCCCTTCCCCGGGCTCACCTGCCCGGCAGCTTGGCGCTCCGCTTCCAGAACTGACGGCCGCTCTCGGCCGCCATGGCGGAGGGAGGGGCGGGCCCGGCCGGCCGGCGCCAGCGAGCGCGGGAGCGAGCGACCCCCGGCCGGCCGGCCCCCGGCGC